GGTTCAGGAGAGTGAGGGTGAGAATGGCTCCCAGCATTATAGGGGGAGGAGGAGCTTGTTCCATCCGGTTTCCTTCAGCAAATCCAATACCATCCTGGTGAACCTTCTCAGAGGTTCCTGCAGAAGCAGACTGCACCTCATCTCCGCCCTTGGTCTGAGTTCCAGCTTCAAGGCTCTGGTAACTCAACTCTTTCATCACCTGAGCCCAATGGGTGGCAGCCACAAAGATTACAGCTGGGCCCCTTCAGTTGTCCTTTTTTTTGTTCTTTTGACCCACTAGCCACTGGGGAAACAACATCCCTTGTGTCTGGAATGCCTGGTGTGGTTGTCTTGCCATGCTTGGAGAGGGTGGGAGCAAAACCACACACATAGAAAGGACAAAGCCTTTGCAGAGGGTTGCCACAGAGAACCCAGGCCAGAGTGGGTGTGAGCAGCTAGCAAGTCACCTAGAGCCGCCCGGGGGGCAGGCCATTTCCTGGATATAGTCTTTTTGAACTCCCATGTCTTCTTTGAGTGACTGAAGATGGAATTCAAGCTCCTTTTCAGTTCCTGTGACCTGGCTTGATTTCTTTCTCCACACCTGCTGGTTTGGACACCTGCTGGTCCTGGCTGGCCCTCCCCATGGACCCCTTCCGTGAGACAGCCTGACCTTCGCACCCTATCAATCATCTTGTTCCTATCAGCAGCGACTCATGAAGCTCCTTTAATTATCAGCCCCCCATCCTTCACTCTAAGCAGGGTGAGCTGGGGTGGCAGGATCAGAGGAGGGAGTTAGCTCCGTTTATGTAGCTCACTCAGTGCAGCCTGGTGGTAACAGGTGTCCAGCAAGAAAAGGTTGAAAGCGTAACATAAATATTAGACGCTTTCTGCCGAATAGAGCACTCTCCGTTTGACAGCGAAGTTTGCACCGCAGTCTTCCTCTGCAGGGCATTTTCTTCAAGACCAGGAGGTGGCATTTGGAACCTCTCCACTGCCCCGGAAACCCACGCAGGCAGTGGGAGCCCGGAGGCGCTCGCTCCCCAGAACGCTCTCCCCACTTTTCCTGGGGCTGGGGTTTCCTTTGATCCTATCGAGAGGATGGCGTCCAGGGGTGCAGGAGAAGAGGTGCTAGTGGAAACGGGGGCGGCGGCGGAGGAGGGGGATAAGGGCTGGAGAGGACACCAGGCCGGGTAAGAACCTGAGTTGGCGCACAGAAGGAAGTTAAGCTATTATTGTCCATCCGAAGCACTGGTGGAAGGAGGATCCCGCGCTGAGGAATGCAGGGGATGGGTGAATGTCTGGGACGCAGGCTCTGAAACCCTAGCACTTCAAGCAGGATAGGCGGTTTAGAGAGAGCACAGAGCCTAGGGGGAAAAACTTGGAAAGGGGACCGCCACTACCCCGCACCTCTGGCGTCCCCAGTTCACGCCAGCACACATGGCTTCCCCACACCTTATGTTGGCCTCGTGCCTGGCCCATGGAGAGCCGTGCACTCTGAAGCCAGTGAGACCACAGCCCCCACTTCCGACACCACGCGTTCCAACCGCAGCTCAGGAAGGACCCGAAGACGTAGACAAGCTCTGGGTCCCTTGGGCAGCGACTCGAAGTCTGTGTACTCAGCGTAAAGCACTGCTAATCAGGGCTCCCGTAGGGCTAAGGAGCCAGACCACAGAGTCCAGGGCTTTCCTCCTGTCGCCGAACCCAAGTTGCAGAGACCCTGAGGGAGGACAGCGCGAATCCGCAGTCTCACCGAACGCGCGGCTCCTGGACCCATTTCGAGCGACTCTCATTCCTCCTGGCCCTCCCAGAGAACTGACGATCCGGGGCCACCACCCAGTCATGTCCTTTAGATAGCGCAGTTGGGGTCCCGAGGAAGGAAAAGCCCTCCTACTTGGCCCCGCCCCTCCGGCGCCGCCCCTCCGGCGCCGCCCCTCCGGCCCCGCTCCCTAGCCCGCTGCAGAGGCGTCTTGCTTCCAGCGAGTCTTGACCAGACGGCAGGCGCCTACGCTTCCCCCGGGCCCAGAAGGGCCCAAACCATTCCCTGCGGCCGGGCTCTCGGAGCGCACACACGCCGTGTTTTCGCTGAGGATGTGGGGGTGCGAGCTAGGCCAGGTTCTGTCCCGGGGCCAGACGGACCTAGTGCCCCGGGCATGGTTCTGCTCAGACCGATGGCTAGTGTGGCAGCTGCTCCGAGTCGGATCGTGCGAGTCCAGAGCCTACCCGGGAAGTGGGGAGACCGAAACTCCATGCACTTGGGGCCGCACTGCACAAGAGCAGGGAACTCCAATCCCATTTGCCACGCTGAGTCTACCTGTCGGCCAGCCCCATGAGCGCACATACATGAGTAAGAGCGATCAGAACTCCCCCCCAGACGAGGCTGCAAGTGGCTTTGCAAGCAGCGACCTGGGGTAGAGACACGTGGCGTTAAGTCCCCGCTGCTAACTGCACAAAACGAAAATGAACCCAGGAGGGGCGCGTCAGGAGCGAAGGCTAGGCCCATGCACAGAGCCTCGAGAGTTGTCTTCTGCACCACCAAAACCCCGGCGACCAGGGCAAAACCCAAACGTCGTTGGTAACGAACTGCACAAGCCCGAGAGAAGCCGATTCTGCACACTGGTCTCCTACTCTCCGGCACGAAACGACCGTCCATTTGTACACATTTGGGTCACAGCTCCCAACGGACAGCGGATGAAAGCAAGAGCCACCTGTATTACTAAATTAATATGTTACACCATCCAGGACCACGAAGATGATCGCCCAGCATTTGTTCAGCGCTTGCCCTACCTTACCCCAGCCCTCGGAGTTTCTCGTTTGAATCCCCGCAGCAATTCTACAGGATGAAGGGCACTTCGAACCCAGAAGGCACTAGGGCCACATGGGTCCTACCTACCTGTCTAAAGGCTGCACTTCTGCCTTCTGTGCTTCAAGCATGCTCCCAGGTTAAGAACCTAAAAGTGGATCCCCTGGGCTTCCGGACTCTGAGGTGGCTGGGGCTTCCTGGTCCCGACTGCCCTTTCAGTGAAAAACGATCCGGTGGGCGTGGGCGTGGGCTCAGGTCACTTCGGGGTCGAGTTAGCTCCCAGGAAACACCCGGAGGGGAGGCGGCCCCTGTGCCCTGACCCAGCAGAAGCGAATAGGGAACTGCCAGACAGCTTGTGCGAGTCGGAGGCCACGCGTGAGTCCCCTGGACAGGCCTTGTCACTCCACTCCCCTTCGCTCTGCACCGCCACCACGCTGACTGTTGTTCTGTTTTCTGGGAAAACCAGAAGCACATTTGTGCCGGCCAAATCTAGTCATTTGTTTCCTGAACTTCAAGGCCCGGGTTCCTCAGCCCTTCTAATGCCCAGCACCCCAGTGTCCCCCGCAAATGTTCGTAGTCGCCTCACATCAATCCGAACTGGGGTAGCTGAGGAGCCGCGGAGCTGGGCGCAAGTTGTGGCCCTCGACGGCGCCAGCTGACTCCAAGCCCCTGCCCACCT